TCACCCAAGGCTTCCTGGTCTCCTTTTTCAAGGAGACCTTCTTTGCAGGCACCTTTTTCAAGGAGCCTTTCTTGGCAACTGCCTTTTTCAAGGCTGCAGCTGGCTTTTTCAAGACACCCAGTGCTGCCTTCAGGTCTTCATGCCTGGTAGGTTCAGCCTGGTGTTTGCTGCCTGGCCTTTTTTGTTTCCATAGCCTTGGTGGACTTGCTTTGCAGCTAGCCAGCATCTTGGGGAAGCCTGCAGAGTCGACAGAGACATCGCTTGCAGTGGACTTGAGCTTCCTGCTATTTGGGGAGGCAGCAACCATGGGCTGCCCATCTCCCCAAACAACCCCCTTTTTCAAGGGGCTGCCCTGCTTCACCTTTTTCAAGGTGCCTTCGCTGCTAAGTCGCGTGACGGGAGATGACATTTCCTTCTGGGTTCTGGCTGGGTCACAACGGGTGGATGACTGCCTTGAGAGTGGATGGAGCAAAGTGAACTTGGACCGGGCCTGCCCGACCTTTACCACTTCGAGACCTGCCCTGAAGCCAGGGCGCAAACCTGCAGGTATCACACAGTGTCAGGAGCATGAGTTGGCGAGGTGGCAAGAAGATTTGCACCGTTTTCCTCCCTACCAGCACATGGACCGCCACGGGGTCGTCAACAAACAAGGAGTGGTACGGGTGCCCACAGTCGCAGAGCGAGACTTTCCTCTCGACTACACGTGTAACAAGAAGAAGTAAAGGTGAGCGCAAGAAGAGTGACTGTCGTGATGTCCGCCTCACCCTGCTTGGGAACACTTGGAGTGTGCCGGTGGTTGCGTGGTTGTTGAACCAGCTCCTGAATGAGCTCGGGATTGCTGTTCATCTTTCGCCGCAGGCAATCATTGCGCGTTGTGCGCCGGGGGCTGCCGAGTCAGTCCAAGGGCGCTTAGTGCGTCTCCCCTTGAAAAGTGAAGACATCCTATTGACCACCCCTACATCCCAGTTGGTGAAATTTCATCGTCTTCGTGCCTCGGTCCCGTCTAAACTTTGGAGGTGGCGAGTCGTTTCAGGTTGGAAGTGGACCACAGGGAAGGAACACATTAACTCCCTGGAGTTGAGGGCGATCCTGAATGCCCTGCGTTGGAGGCTGGAGCTCGCGGGTGCAGGATGTTGCACCTGACCGACTCCCTCGTTTGCTTGCGCGCGCTGACGAGGGGAAGAACCAGTTCAAGAAAGCTTCGAAGTTTAGCGCACTACTCTTGTGTACCAACTCCCAATGCCTGTGGGGATATGCGCATACAGATAGCAACCCTGCTGACAAGCCCAGTCGGTGGGGTACTCGGGTCCGCACTCGTTTCCGGAATGCCTAAGCGTGTACTCGAGGGAGTCACGCTGCAGGAGGAACGGGCCAAGATCCGTCATCGTTTGGGTACTTTGAAGCAATTGACAGAGGAGGCGCTATGATAAAGCAGTCGACCAGTTCCTGGCCTTTCTTCGCACTGAAGGCTTAGCCCTACCTACAGCAAAGTCCAAGCTTGACCCACTAATTTGTGACTACTTGGAGCACATATGGCGTCAAGGGTATGGCAGAGGCCTGGCCTACGATACCCTTGCAGGGTTGCAAGACCTTCAGCCCGGGTTGCGGTCGCAGATGCCGGCAGCCTGGAGGCTCCTGCGCACCTGGCAAACTAACGAGATCCCGTCCAGGGCTCCCCCACTTCCAGAGCACATCGTACATGCAATGTGCGGTTGGGCCTTTTTTCATGGATGGGCCTCATTCGGTGTTTCCTTGTTGATCGGGTTTTACAGCATGCTGAAAACGGGAGAGATTTTGGGGATCCTCTCATCCCACATCCAATGTGGAACCGGATCCTTGCAAGCGTTGATAAAGCTCGGTTTGACAAAGGGCGGCAAACGGCATGGTGCTGCCGAAAGTGTCGTTTTGGGTTTTGAGCCGGTGGTCAAAGTGGTTCGTTCGTGGAAGAAAGCCTGTTCGCCTTCGACACCTTTAACACCCTCACCCGCACGTTGCCGATCTTCAACCAATGTTTGAGTGAGCTGAACATAGGGGAACCCGGCTTTAGACCCTACTCTTTACGTAGAGGGGGGGGCCACGTTCTGGTTTCAGAAACACCAGAACCTCGACCGAATTTTAATCCAGGGTCGGTGGCATACCCAAAAAAGTGCAAGAATCTACCTTAACGAAGGATTGGCAGTGCTGAGCCAGATGAAACTCCCGGCTACGGATGCACATTTAAAGCCTTTCCTGACCGTTTTCGAAACTTCCTGATACATCCCACTATTTCCACACTTGAGCCAAAGGCGGAAGGACTGGGGTCCGTGGAAAGAACACTCGTTCCGGCAGGTGAAAATGGTCACATTTTTTGTTTCCTTTTTGTGGCAGGGGTCTGTGTCCCACTCTTCCCTAATCTAGGAGGCATGGCTTGACCAGAGGTTGAGTGGGCTAGGCGAATCCCCTACCCAGGGTGTGGCCGGGTAGGTAGGACCGACCTACCTGAGGGCTGGAGGTCCCAGGTCAGACCTAGCTAGCCACTTCTATCCTATCTGTTTTAGTTATTTTGACAAATATGCAGCGAAGTGAAAAACAAGAGAGTGCTTTTGACATCTTTGTATCTGCGGCCCCGCGGGTTAAGATGTCTAGCATGTCCCTTGTTTTTCCTGCAGTGTTGGCTTAAGCACCCCCCTCTGCCACCCGAAAGAACACTCGTTCCGGCAGGGGAAAACCCCTACCCAGGGTTTGGCCGGGTAGGTAGGATCGACCTACCTGAGGGCTGGAGGTCCCAGGTCAGACCTAGCTAGCCACTTCTATCCTATCTGTTTTTAGTTATTTTGACAAATATGCTGCGAAGTGAAAAACAAGAGAGTGCTTTTGACATCTTTATATATATAAATATATAAGTATATATACATATAGCCAGCTAGTGGAAGCTGTCCCGGCAACCAGTCCTGTGAAATGTGTTTTAGTGCGATGCTGTGCTATTTGACATTCCTGATTCGACATGTCTACAGCAATGATTCCAGGAGGCCCTCGCCGGGAGGTAGTTGACACTGACATGTTCAATCTCCCACCTGGTGTTGGTGCTTTATAGCTCATTGAGCAAGGCTATGCCCATGTCTTTGGCTCCACAGTCCTCCTCGTGCAGACAGGGCTCTTCTTGGTCTTGGGCTGCTTCATCAGCCGCCTGAAATGCCACTTGATTAAAGACTCCAGAAAAGCTTGTGCAACAAACTGCCATGGTGTTTGCGATGTCAGCTTTCGTTTTGTAATGATCGCGGTTGACAAGGGTGAGGAATATGCCCAAGATGATGGTCTCATGCTCATACACACACCATACATCTAGTTTACTCACTAACATGATGAATATAGGCAAAAACACTACATACACACACACATATATATATATTTACACTATGCACATTATAGGAGGAATCTGGTAGTTAGAACTGGGCGCATTCGTGGGTTCAATGGATTCTTTGCACCTTGAGGCATCGGTGTGCCCTTTTTGTTGCTCTTTGTGGCCGTGGCTGTTACCCCAAAACCACTGGCGATGCTACTGGGCCAACTCTCGCGCTGGAGGCTCCTGAGGCAGGTCTTTGAGTTTATAATGTTCATATTAGGAGGGAGCTTGCGAGCTTGGAACACATCGAGTTCGCATGAGTTCTTTAAGCCTTAAGCACTTGCCAGTCAGTTCTTGTTTATCCTTCACAGTAGGATGCTGGCCTTAGCTGCGGTGGCTGCAGCGCAGCTTGGCTATGTTGCCTTTCTGAGCTCCAAGATGCCGTTCATTGAGCAACGATACACAAGCCTCTTGGCAGCACCTGGTATCACTGGGAGCACTTCTGGCTTCAAGGACTGGGAGCACATCTTGCATCCGTATTCTCATTCAAGTAGAAGGCTTCAGCCCTCACATATCAGATACTGTAGTTTTCTTGGTGTGTAGCATGCACAGCCGAGGCATTCATGCTGATAAAGGGTGGCCGGACGGAGATCGTGGGGAGTTCTTCAATTGGATGTCGAGCCTCAGCTAAGGCGTTGTTTCCCTTCATCTCGAGGGCAATCGATAGTGTATATATATATATCAAATCTGGGGGCGACTGAATGAAACTTGACACCAAATCAGACAATCTCTTCCTCTACGCATAATGTACATATGCCATATGTATTTGTATCTATTACCAGGGCAGCTGGGAAGGCACTGCTTGTCCCAAGAACCTGGTATGCCCCTGGATGCCTCACAGAGCACAGTTGCAACATGTTGCAAATGACAACAATTATCGCTCCAACTTTCAACCTGTTGAGAATCCATAAGCTGTAAATGCTTCCGCTGTGCATCATTGCTGGATACCCTCGCTGTCCTCCAACTCACAATTTGAGGCTGAACATTCCTGAGAAGGAGATAGTGCTGGCAGCCATGCCATTGAGTGCTGAACTGCGCAGGGCTACTCCCTCTTTGCGCATTGCTATCCATCCTCAGTTTGAGGCATTTCACAGCATTAGGATTAGAAAGGGAGAAGTTGCGAATGTCTCCGGTCTCCCTCACGACCTGGACTTCTTTGATTTTTGTGACTGCGAGGCACAGCACCTTCGTGACCGAGTTCAAGAATCTTGCATCAGAATCATTCAGTCAGTATTGGCCGCATTTTGGGCTTCGGTTCCAATTTGCAAATTCTGTTGATCCAGATGTTTTGTGGGGAAGATACGGGAGCCTTCGAGGCATATGATTGATGGATGCCACTGCATTATATCTATATATATAGTTCCAACCATCCACAGACATAGACATTGTTGAATTGCACATATATAGTTTCCCTGATTGTTAAGACGATGAAGGTGTAGATTTGATGAGGTTGGTCAATGAGCAGAGATGCATTGAGAAAAGATTCCGGTCCAATTGCTGGTCGTGACTCAGGAGCTCTATCAGTTCTACCAGTGCACCTCACCAGAGACTTGGCAGCCAAAAGCGACGGGACAGGATTGTCATGATCCATCATTTTGTCAACCAATGCTGCTAGCTGCTAGTGCTCCAAGTTTAGCATGCTTAGGCAATCTTAGGCATACATGATGAGAGGTGGGCTGGAGCAGGTGCGAATACTTACATATAGTTATATAAGAATATGTATATACTATATACCTAGATGTACACTACACCGTTTTAGTCAAGTGTCTTTCTCCTGCGCCCTCTCACCTCCTTGGACAGACGCAGTTGGCCTAAAGTCAGACTTTCTGCCTGATCGATGATGGGCGATTTTGATGGACTTTAAAGCTCCCAAGGCCAGCTTTGCAAAGACCATGAAGAAGTTCCAGTCTCGCTTTTTGATTCTGGAGTTCAAGCGATGCAGCCGCATTCTGAGCCAACGCCGGAAAGAAGACCACGTGAACTGTGTCAATGAGCACTTGGAATTTGTTCTTGATTTGGATACGAACACTGAAAACATTTTGCTTTCAGAAGGCTGGACAAGGAGGCACGTGATACCACAAAGAATGCACAGGAGGAGGAAACATCCCACAACGAACACTCCTACAGAACCACATACAAACCGATGACAGACCAGGGCTCCGAATCCTGAAAAAGCAAGTGCCCAATGCAGTACACTCTGACTCACTGATATGGTAATGCTAATTATATAGCTCCTTTACACACAGGTCCAGGTGGTATTCCACGTTCATGTTAGTGAGGCGGAGGGTAGTTCATGGCTTGTGCATTCCCCCCATGGCTTTGACAATGGCGCTCCAAGGTTTTGGTCCCTTCCTTCTCGACAGGTACCCAGAGGTCAACTGCAAGGAGTGGCGCTGAGTTGATTGTGAATAGACAATTTGCAGCTCAGCTGTCAGATGACCACTGCAGGAAGGTGAGCACCCGTGGCATTACCTTTTCTGCCCACGGGCTTTGGCTTCACCGCTCTTTGAGCTTCTTTGGGCGAATGCCGAGTTTGCTGTGCTTCGTTTGAGGCATGACGAGGCTTCGGTGCATGGGATGGCAAGACATTTGAATGTTTGAGGAGGCTGCAGAGGCCTCCCTAGAACAAGAAGCGCCTCCAACCAAACGGATATAACATCAGTTTGGTCTCCATGGAAGCCAGTGGTGTTGTACGTGTTGTAACTTGCTTTGAGCGAACTACTTACATCGCGAACTGTGAGCATGATTAGTAGCATGATTGGATTGGATCAAAGCATGCATCAACCTGACAGTTCCACATTTTAGATTCCGTCCCATTCCTGGTTGCAGAGCGGTGGATGTACGTGAAGCCTTCGTGGCGTCAGGAGGTGCCCCAGACAGCCAAATCTGGGAACGTGGAGGACCTCAAGACCTGGGAGCCCATGCTGCAGCGATGCCAAGAAGAGGCCACAGCTCGAAAACTCTCAGAAACAAGGGTCATGAGAATCAACTTAGCAATGTTTGACCTTTTTTCCTGGGAGCGGAGAAAGGTGCTCAGCTAGGAACAAACAGCATTTGCAGTTGGGCCACAGTTGATGAATCGTGTTCCATTTTCATAAAGGCATTCATTCTTTGGTTGAGTGACATCAGTGACACTTGGCAAATACTAAACTAGTTGCTTCTGAAAGGAAGCCCGGAAGCAGCGGATCAGACACAGTACGAAAGAAAACAGCAAACGCACACACACACACTATATATATATATATTCATACTACTACACGAGCAGCAAGGCAAGAGCAAAAGGGCAACTATAGGTATGACTTGCACTTTTTTGTGCTTTCACTGGTTTCCTTCCTGTTCTGTTGCTTGACCACTTTTTCATGACTGCAATAGCTAGAGCTAGAGTTGGGACGCCACCTGAAGTGTTTAGAAACTAATCCAAAGCAGTAACCAATGGTGATCAAGATGTACCGAGTATGTTGCCAGGAGTAGCTCAGAGTTGCGGTTCAGACCGAGAGAGCAACTTTCCGGGCTGATTATATACTACTGTATATAATTAATGTCAGCGTCGGATTAGTCACCCCCTCCTTGAAGGTCAACAAGGTCAACAATGTTTGAGATTGGATGTGTTGGAGACCAGATCTCCATACTAAAGATGCTGACCTGATGTTGGACGATGGTTGATGGGATTCTGTGTGAACCATGAGACCTGTGTGAGGGGTACCCTTTGTCAGCCAGCTTGAAAACCTTAAGAGTTCGATAGAGTTTTCAAATGCTGTAATGAGGGAACATGAAACAAATGCTAAAGAGGTTGTTAGGGATTGTGGAACAAAGATTGCTTGGGAGGACATTGAAAGTTTAGATTGCAGCTTTAAACAATATACTAATGAACATGTCATATTTTCTGGGGACAGATGGGCGTGATTAAATAGGGGGAGGTTTCTGCCAAGGACGGTTTTTATTAGGGTGAGGACAAGGTGGAAATTACTTTTTTTTTTAAATAGTTATAGTTATAGTTAGTTTATTGTTGGGGGCTCGAGCTGAGCTGGGCTTGACTCATATTTAATCTTAGGTGCGCATTACTATATAAGGCTTTTTGCCCAAGAACATAGGGTTCCTGAAGAGAAGCACCATGCAGGAGCGTCGTGAGTGCTCCGCGCGGGTGGCTGATTTGGCACTGGCTTTCCGGAAGATGGGGCAGTCCCAGGCAAGGGCTGATGGACACAACAATAACAGAAGTGGCTTTGTTGCTTTTCCTTTTCCTTTCGCGTGTTGTTGTTGCTTTGGAGGTGTCAGGTATTGTCGATATGGGTTTTGAAGAGAGCCAATGACCACGACATCCTGTGCTTTACACAGGTACAAGCGATCAATCTCATCAACAATCAGCCCCCACTGATCTTGCCTTCCCCTGGTAAGGTCAGCAAGATGCTCCTCCGCTGGGCTGAAACGTGACTTGATTGTCGTAATGTGCGGCATTGGTGTCTTAGAGCAGGGTCTCCCTCTAAGACTGCATATAATCTTTGTTGGGATTACGTAGCCATGGATTTTGCTACAGGAAGGCTTAACTCTTTTTCCTGTCTATTGCAATGCTGAGACAAGCTTCAAGAAAGAGCCGTTTTCCTGGCTTGCGTTTCTGACGGGCAGGATCGTTCTGGAAAGTATTCAGCCTTGTCTGAGTGAACAACCGACAGATTTGGGTAAGGCACGGAGATGAGGATGGTGCTTTCCAGTATATCATGGGGCATCGTGGCTCAGATTTGAGTTTGCTGCTTGCTAGGACCCAAATGTGCCCAAATTCCAGGGATGAGGATTCTGTGGGGTGGATGTTTTCGATTTGCAACGGGTATGATTCCAGCTGATTCGCCATGTGCACAAGAAATCAGGCATCACTTGGACTACGATTTACAGCAAAGCGAAAAAGCTGGGGCCTACTACCGAAAGGCCGTGGAGCTTGAGCCCAACAATCCGGTCTTTGTGATACTTGGGCAATGCTTGTGCTTGAGTTTTGATTTCGTTTGGGTGTTGTTCCTTCTCACATTGACCTTTGCACTTCACACTGCGCCAAAGGAAGGAGTATTTGATGTGGCTGGAAATTGTTGCCAAGGACTTGAGCATGGATAATTTGGATCCCGGATGTTGAAAAAAAGAACTAAAAGAGAGAACAAGAAATGATCAGCTGGCATTTTTTGCAACATGTTCCTCACGCAGGATCAGCGCAGCTTGGTCCGACTGCTGGGCCCACGGCGGACGGCCACTGGAGCCAAGCTGGCTTTGACGGACTTGGGGGATGCAGCCTTGGCCTGTGAGGCGAAGAGACAAGAGATCAAAAGAGAGATCCCTCTAAAAGAAGCCTTACAGTATTTGTTAAACAGTATTAAATATCTGAAATTCTTGTTGATGACTGACATGGCATGTCCACATGCAAGTCGGGCGAACGTAGATGACCCACCGGTGTAAGTCTATATAACATTAAAAAACATCCATGTGTTGTGTTAGTGTGGCTGCATCCAATAGTTACTGTAGTTTGTGTCCTTGAGATTTGGAGCTATGAAGCACTGCGGAAACAAGCCTGGGAAGTCCTGGGCAATGTTGGACGCTTTGAGTCACTGTTAGGCCCCAAAACCGCATACTCTCCAAACATCGGTGCTTTCCTTAATGTCCTAATTCCCCAGGAGGTCCGTTTCAAATGCGTAATGTTTGTGAGAAGTTGCTTTTGGGACCCGTGTTCTTGGTAAATTTCACGGGAGTGTTGCAAGGCCTTGGCCTCCTTGACCTTCTTGGCCCTTGCTTACAGGTTGTCTTGGGAGTTGCGTCATTTCAAACTACTTGATCCAATTTTTTGAAGCCATATGAAGCTGAAGCCCTGAAATGTCCGGCGTACTATCGTTTACTATCGATGATGTCGGATGGCTAGGCCTCGGTGACGGCCAAAGAGCTCTTCCGAGACCCTGTGCCTTGGACGGACGGTGGCCAAGGGCAGCTTTGCCAACTCGTCCAGTTAGAAAAGTTCGAAGTTGCATGAGGTTTCTGAAAGAGCGGACCTAATTGTGTAGTATCGACGAAAAAAATCAAAACATGAATGTTTACCGAAGACTTTGAGGACTGGTCGCAGGAGCTTTGGGAGTATGCATTGGAGAATGGGAAGTGCACCTTGGCAGTGGTGTGATGCCAGGAACCACCAGCCTCCAAAGTCATACAACAGCGCCTCCCCTCACACAGAGCTTGGTAAGTCTTGGATATGCTGGTTAGTGTCAGTTGTTTCCTGACATCGCTCACAGCGTTCAAACCGATGAGCAGATTTGGTAGCATGGATCCCAAAAAAGTAAATTGCAGATCCAAGGCAACCAATGTGTGGACAACAACTGGGCTTTGTACTCACCCAACGAGAAGTCCATGCGCCAAGATGTGGGCCACTTGATGGAATTCTGAGACGACCAGCTGGGACAAGTACCGAAACAAATCGGATGAGTTTCTAGGTCGTTCTTCTCACAAAATACTCCCTCGAACCAACCTAATCGCGATGGCCTCCAACCCACTCGCGATGGCCTCCAATCTAGAAGGAATGGCCTCCAACCCAATAGTCACTTGATGGCTGGATAGCGGCAAGTGATGACAAAGCATTCACAAAGGCACAGAAGAGACGTAACACTGGGGAGGATACAGCAAGCACCTGGGTCCATCACTTCCTGCCTGGAGACCCGTGGGGACGAATCTATTGATGTTGCAGTTGGCCTTCATATTGCATGTTTCACCAGGCCGACTGCCCATGCCAATATTAAGAGTCCAGTGGGTCGAGCTTAGTGTGGCAATAAGACAAACAGCAGCTTCAGCACTGTTGGTGAGAAATTTGCTTCCAAACAATGTGACTCTGGGATGCTATGCCTCCATCCATTGGTTGGGTGATCCATGGAACCATAGCCTGTGTCACACCCGTTGGGACATGCTTGAGGAGACTGGCAGCTATTCCTGAACGTCTTCTGGCATCGCTCCATGCGGAGCTCCATGCTCTCCATCGCAGGCGGCAGTGCATCATGCGTGAGCTATCCTGCGTCCATATGTGTTGTAGCTTAAGTAGCTAATAACAGCTAGTAGCTTACTCCCTTGCTGGCGCCTACATAATCAAGGGAGTGGTATTTTGGATTTGTTTAAATTCTTCTCACTGCTTCTCTGCTGTTCTGTGCGGGCATCAGGATCAAAAACAGAACAGGATCAACACAAAAAATAGCATCAATTAAAGAAACAAAAGACACGAAGCAGCCCAGCGCTGTCTATACTTGATTTGCATTGCGGGGTAGGCACTGCGTCCTCCCCCGCACCCCCCTCCCGCTTTTCAACAGTTACCACTACCCCTGCTATTGCCAGCACCTCCATCATTCCGACCACCCCACTACCAACTACTATCTTCTTCCTTCGCTTAGTAGAAGCGCTGTGCCCTAGACGACGACGACGACTACTACTAGTACTACTAGTACTAGTACTAGCACTACTACTACTACTTTTACTGCTACTACTAATACAACGACGACTACTACTATTACCACTACCTAGTTGCCACTCTGTTACATTTGCACAACCCCACAACGGTGGATGCCAGGGGCCACCAGGCAATTGCCACTGATGCCGACCAGCTACCAATGACATCTTTCCACAAGCTGACAAGAGTGAATGCTACTAACCACTAGTATAATCCGTGCATCCCCGCCTACAATGTGGACACACCCTGGACGATGCCAGGTCAAGGCAGCATTCTTTTTGTGGGCCACCCGAGGGCACAATGTAGAGTAAGAAGGAGCCATTGCACCGTATCATTCCTTTTGTGGACCATCTGAGGGAAAGATTTGGAGTAGGAAGAAACCATTGCAACGTAGCATCCCTTTTGTGGGCAACTCGAGGGTAAAATTTAGACACTCCTTGTGTGGGCAACCCGGGGGTACAATTTAGAGAGTAGAAAGATGCTAGTCAAAGGCCGCATCCCTTTTGTGGGCCACCCGAAGATAAAATTTAGAGTACGAAGAAGCCATTGCAACGCAGCATCCCTTTTGTGGGCCACCGGAAGTAGCAAGAAACAATTGCAACGTAGCATCCCCTTTGTCGGCAACCCCACCACATGAGATGCTAAGGGCCACCCAGCTTCTGAACTCCCCTCTCAGAAATGATGTGGATGCTAAGACCAGGGCCTTATAGGTTTACTTAGTGCAAGACATGAACAATCACGTTTTTCAGAGTAAGTCGGCTTACAAAACCCTTCGCCCGCCTTTTTTAACTTCCCAGAGTGCTGCGCCTGCCACCAGTGGAGTACGGGAATTAAACAACCGCAGACAAGCAAGAAAACATCAAAATTAATTCCGGTACCATAATTAATTAAGTAGGTGCGGTCTCAATTGAAAAACAAATTGAAATATAGATGTCAAGACTGACAAGCCTTGAATTTCTGGAATGCACCACCTTCTGCTGGGAGCCGCTTGAAGGTAATGCCGGAAGGCATGGCCATCAAAAGCGACGCAGTGCAGCTCTGAAGCGCTACAAGAGGATGCATTCGTTGAAGACCGGAGGCGCCGGAGGAGTGGATTAAAAGGAGAAAAATCGCGTGACAGAGCTTGGTGATGTGTGATAATCCCACCGCCTTCCTGAGCAAGTGTAGCGACATGTATATAGATATTTATAAATATATATATATATATCATCATTTTGTAGCCTTTGCCTGCAGGACGCTTGTATGAGGTGAGGGGGCTAGAAGAGGAACAACCGTTGTGCGGGTGTTCATTCCTATCACAGACCGATGTTGAATCCTTAAAGATCTTGGTCAGTTGCTTCTTGTGTTCCCAGCTTTTGCGCACAATAAACTTTCTAGCAACACGTTTGAGAAGACATTCTAAACTCCATGAAGAATCAGCCAGACAGAAACGTAGCATAGTACGACAAACAGAATCCGTAGAGAACCGAGAAGGGGTGCTGTTTCTGTTTAAAGGGATTTAAGCGTCCGCATGACCGGTCCTGTTGCTAACACTGCAGAACAAATGGCTGAAGCCATGGACACTGTTGCCGCCTTTCCTGATGCCTGGGATGCCAAGGGAAAAGGGGTCAAAGGAGGCAAAGGCAAGCGTCAACAGCATGGTGATCAGGGTCGCAAGGGCAAAGGCGGCAAAGGCGGCGGCAAAGGAGGAAAAGGTGGCAAGAATGGAGGAAAGGACCTGGGCTCCAAGCGGAGCTGTTATGATACTGGTGCCATTGTTGTGTGTGGTGTTCGTGCGTGTGACCCTGTCTAGGGTCTAATTGTGTGCGAATCAGGTGTCAAGTTTTCCAAGTGTTCATCCGTTTCCTTGGTGTTGAAGCACTTTCTTCTTGCTTTTCGGTGTCGGGCGCTGCTGCATTAGGAGGAGCTCCCCACTGAGCGGAAGGACGAACTGGAAGCCCAGCTCATCGCGCTAAGCCGTGGCACGGAGAGCTCCGCGACTCCTCGGGTGGGCGACCTGGTAGAAGTGAAGGTCTTGGGCTCCGATCCGCAGGAACTACAAGGATACTTGGCCAGAAAAGACGTGACAAAGCACCTCCAACCCACTAGCTTCTTGCTACTAGTAGCGATGCCAGGAGCTACTAGTAGCGTCCTTGCTCCTAGTAGCGATGCTCTTTGTTACTAGTAGCTTCACTATACCAAGCGCATCCTAGCGCCTTTTTGTAATTCTCAGGATGACCCACCAGAGTTGAGAACACCGTTTTTGGATTCCATGACATCACAACAGGTGGTGGTAGCTATATAAGCCCGACCGAGCCCGGTATCAAGAACCATTCAGACACTACAATTTACACCACTGCACCACATCAACGATCCTCAACTAGCCTCTCAACAAGTCTTTTGCTCAGGCCAGATGGGCCCGGTTTTGGGCATTGCCTCTCTGCCGAGCCTGGCCACCCCAGCCATCACCGTGCGCCTGCCTTCGGGCGAGACCTCAGTGAGCGCCAGTGAGCTGCGGATCGTGGAGGCGCAGCGACCGCTGCCAGAGGGCTCCCTGAGCTTTCCCAAGAGCCTTACTGGAGCCTCAGCGTAACATGGAAAGAAGCCAGAGTTCCATTTGAGTCCTGTACTGATGATCAATCATACTGAGTAGACCCGAGCGTTTGGCAAATTGTCTCAATTGGCCCAAGTTTGCAGATACGAACCATTTACCAACCGAAACGAAAGTTACTGTGCTCTTCCAGGACTGCAGTGTGGGAAGTAGGCAACAGTTAGGTTAGGAGTTTTAGCCCGCTGCAGCTTTGAGGCATGGAGCGAAAGTTTGTGCACTCAGTTTGTGAACGCCTGGGTTTCTCGATGCAAAGAACTTGCCATTTCTGTTCCAAATGAAGGCCCGGCCCACCCAATAAATACTGTATACCTGCCTACCATCAGCAATGCAATCCGATCCGAGTGAACCTTCTCTGAGGCTTGATCTCACAAAGCTTTGGCAAAGGTGATGATCGATACATCACGGCCTTCCGACCCGCAGAAGGTTCTGGGAGCTCTGGTTGTGAACCTTCAGCACCATCACCCTGCTCACCCAGCACAACAGCAACTTGGCTGGCGCTCAGCAGACTGTGCATAAATTATGTCAGAATATTTGCAGTTTCTTGTTGCTCTTGCTCAAGGTAATTATGCCTCCCAAAAAGGTTCTTATTTTGTTCTAGCACAGGAATGCTTAGGTTGTTTGGTGTTTATCCGGGCTTGCATAAAATGGAGGGGGCTGTATATTTTCCTATTTTTCACAGCTAGTGTACATACATAACCCCTACCATACGTGGCTTTGGCTCAAGGAAAAAGGTGTACGTTTTAGGCTGTTTCCTATTTGAAATAGGTTATCAGCCGTAGGTCTCACCAAGTCTTCTCGCTCGTACCACGTGCCCCCAGCCATGGCAGGTTACCCGTCGATCATTGACTTGGCGACGGATTTGGACGATATGTCCGCACGTGATGCAACGCCTGAGGTTGCAAGTTCCACGGCGCTCGTGCCGGAAGGGTTTGGGTTTTTGGACACGCCGTTAGGGCCTGACATTGCCCGTTATGACCCTCCCTCCATGAGTGCCAGCGGGAACGCTGTGCCGGTTCACATGAGTAATACTAATGTGTTGAATCAGCACTTGCATGTTCACCAAGCCCCATCAACTGATGCAAGATTGATCGAGGCTGTTGCCGAAGAAAGACACCGGCATGCCATGGACATCCAAGGTGAACAGCTCAACATCGTGAGCGCCCAGCGTGACGAGATGCGTATGCAGGGGTTGGGAAGCAACCGCTTTTGTTGAAGCTGCCCAGAGAGGTTACGAGGCTTATGCCGAGGCTTCCGCGGCCGAGTTGAGGTCTATGAAACAACACCATGAAAGTCAGATGTTGGATGCACGTATTCGTAGTGATCATGCCATTGAGAAGTGCATGGCAACCATCGATTCATTGAATAATCATGTTGAGCGCCAGAATCGGCAAACAGAAAGTCTTCAATTGGAGTTGAGACAATCCATGAAGAAACAAACTGATCTCCAAAGCCAATTGAGTGCTCTTCGAGATGCCAGATTCCAGAACGACCTGTTCAGTTCTTGGTCCGCCGTTCGCGCACCGGAAGGTCCAGCCGTTTTGGGTCCGAGGGGTCTCCCAATGATTCCTGCAGGGGGCAACGATGAATTACAGACCCGAGATTACTCTCCATCCATCCCCAACCCGACTACGCTTAGGCAAACCGTCAAACAAGAACCAAAGGGCACTACGATTCCGAAGAATGAACCTACTGAGGAATCCCTTTTTGGTTCACCATTGAACTCCATGAGGTCAGGCGAAGGTGTGATTCCACCACTGCCACTGGGAACCAGTGATCAGACCGGTAAGGCTCCGAATGGAGCACCCGGAGGCGATCCCCCACCACCTCAGCCAGAAGGTGGTAATGGTCCTCCAAAAGGAGATGAAGCCAAGGGGAACCTTCGGCCGAATCCGAAGAAAGCAAATGTTGGTGGAGGAGGCCCGCCTGACGAACCTGGGGACGATGACGACGGGGACGGGGATGATGATGACGACGACGACGATGATCACGATGATGGAAATCTCTCAGGCCGTGATTTGTTGAATGCCCTCAAGCAACTACTCAAGGGGAAAAAGAAAAACTCCGAGAATAATGCCAAGGAAGCAGACCATATTAAGGTTCCTCCATTTCCATACCCCGAGAGCTACAGAGACTGGAAGATCAAAGTCCGGGATGCCGTTCGTGCCGCATCAAAGACACCTGACAAAGCTTTCGTGTGGATTAACAAGGTGTGGAAGGAAGGGACCGTGACTGCGGATTTGGTTGACCCGGAGGGTTTCACGACCCTTGATGCCAAATTGTTGTCAGCACTGTCCAACATCTGTTCAGGTGAGTTTGCTAGGAAGGTCAATACCTTCAAAGAGAAAGAATCAGCCGCCGACCGCCCTGTGAGAGGACGTCAAGTTCTTTTGATGATGGATGAATTTTTCAGCACGAATATCAAACATGGAGCCACGTACTCATTGAAAGATTTGTTCGCTGTGAAGCTCAAGGGTGAAAACCTCAGAACCTTCATTTCGAACTGGGATACTGTGAATGCCGGCATCACTCACCCGCCGGATCCATCAGTGTTGGAAACCCTGTTCTACGAACAAGTCAAGAACGTACGGGCCATACAACATGATATCGAAATCTACAACCGTGCTGAAGAAGGAACTGATAATCATTCCTACAAATACCTTGTTGATGCTGTACAGAGATATCTCCGGAGGGAAAGGCTTGAGTCGAACCGTGACCGGATCCACAACAGCCTTGGAGGTCCGAAACCGTCCACTCCCGCAGTCGACGACGATCGGAAGAAGACTCCGTTCATCCCAAAGGGTTACTGTGTCGCATGGAACAAGGGCAGTTGCACCAAAGAAAATTGCACGTACAAGCATGAGACTCCTCCAAAGAAGACTCGAAAACCAAGTAGAGGTCGATCCACCAGCCGTGAGGGCAAAGACAAGTCCAAGATCACATGTAAGTACTGGAAGGCCGGACGTTGCAAACGGGGGAGTGATTGTGAATTCTCCCATGCAGGCAAACAGAAGCCTCGCAAGGCCACTCCTGCCAGATCAGGATCCCGCAGTTCCCGCGGAAGCGATAAGAAGGACAAGCGGAAGAAGGACAAGAGGGGCAAGCGGGACAAGAGCGGTCGCCGATCCGGATCCGATGGTTCCCGGAAGTCGAAGGGTTCCAAGGGTTCTGGTGGTTCAAACCGTTCATCCCCCAGAGTCACGCCTGCCGCAGTTTGTCTGGTTGCATCCATGCTTGCATCGTCCGTTGAAGGACTTGCCACCGGGAACGGTTGGCCGAGCATTGCTTGTCCAGCCAAGATAAGGGTGAAATTCGAGTCTAAACCGACAATCACCGAATATCAAACATCCGGAAGTCTTTTCCCATATGAGGTGGAGAGGAAGAGTCCATCAAAGTTCTATCCCATCGAATTCGCTATGAGTCCAAACCCATCGGCCATCGAAGATTCACTCCTGTCGGCCAAAATGCTTGCCGGAGCAGTGCAGAATGAGCTGCAAGGTTTCGCTGCCAAGTGTCGTTACATGTGCAAGTCCACCATAGGTTGTGACCACTGCATCCCGAAAACACTATATGCCACACCTGCAGCCTCTGAGCAACAGGTGGAGCACTATCTCCTTTCAGGTGAGGACTGGATTGCAGATACCGGAAGCGCACAGGACCTTGCAACCAAGTACGACATTCCGGACCAGTATCAGTTTTTCTCCAACCAACCGATCTCCATTATCACTGCCAATGGAGAGAGTTCGTCATACCTGCAGGGAAAGGTTAGAAACGAGACATTAGGATGCAATTTCACGCCATATTTGCTCGAGTCTACCCCACCTGTCATGTCCGTCGGGGTCAAGTGTATGGACGAAGGTTATGACTTTGTTTGGAGAGCCGGCAAGGAACCATATTTTCAAAAGCCCGATGGTGTTCGAATTAAGTTAACTGTACGAGACTACGTGCCTTATGTTCCATCCAAGATCAAGAAAGCCATGCCTTGTAAGTTGCGTTCACGTCCGGTCATTGATGCTGGGATTCGTGCCGGAGCTTCTTCTTCATCGAATTGTCCGCCTTCTACATCCTCGTCTACTCCAACTCCGCTGGCCCTACCTGCTGAAGTTGCAAAGGGCTCAGATGATGCGGTGGGGGATGATGATGTGAGTAGGGGAGACAAAGAAGAAGCTAGCCGGAAGGCTGAGCCGCCCAGTGCCGCTGACCGGAAGGTCGAGCCGCCAACGGATGATTCTAACCCTAGTGATGATGCCCTGGACGATCAGGTCACATACGTTTACCCCTCTGCACGGAAAGATGCGGAATCGACCATCAACTCCTTCAAACATTTTGTCCTTGACGAAGCAATTGTGAAGATCTTTTACTCTGACAATGCCCCAGAGCTTATCAGTGCTGCGCGCACTCTCCAATGGAGACATATCACTTCGAAGGATTATATTTCCCAGAGCAATGCCGTTGCTGAGCGAACGATTCGATCGATCGTTGAGGGTACCAGGGTGAGTTTATTGCAGTCAGGACTGCATCACCAATACTGGCCCCATGCCGCTAGGCACTGGTGTGTGAGCAACAACGTTGCCCAATTTGATGATGAAGACAAGTCACCATGGGAGCTCCGTTTTGGGGAGAGATTCAAAGGTCCTATTGTCCCGTTCGGTTGCAAGATCGACTATTGGACCGGGCCTAGAAAAAGAGTGAAAGACAACTTGAGGTTTGACCCAACTTCTGCACCAGGCATTTTCATCGGCTATATTTTGCACCCAGGCTGCTTGTTTCGGGACGAGTTTGCAGTAATGTCACTCCCAAACGTCCTGAAAGCTAGTCACGACGAGAAGATCCCGATTCTCAGAGTCAGTCAGATTAGTGTGCCAAAAGCCATCGAATTTCCGATGCAGAAAGACAAAACAATCAGGAGTGAGGGGAGAGTTGAACTTATTGATCAACCCGAACTGCCACCTCTCGAGGATCAAGACGCGAAAGTGAATCAACCAGACTCCTTTCCCGTTGAGAAACTTGAGAGGGACATCAAACCCAACGCCGATGCCATTGGCGGGAAGGCGGTGTGGAATGCTGCTTGGTTGGCTTTCCTCAGGACCAAGAATCCGGACGGATCGGAAAAGCTCGGATGGTTCGGATACGGGGGGTGTCAAGTCAATCTTGAGTTGTTTGCTGGTGAATTATGTGACCCACGTCCAACTCATGACACCAAAGATTATCCTGTTCGTTCCACCGTTATGCAGTCCGGCGATGATTCATGGCATGTCATTGAGGAAAACAAAACCATCCATCCATGGCAGAACGAGTTCAAATCTCCACTTCCTGAATACGGTTACATTGCCTCGATCTTTTCAAAGTCAGACATTGAGCTTCGAGTTCGTGAAGCAGAGAAAGACAAAGTTGTTGATGAAGGTGAGGTTGAAGTCATCGATCCCGCCACAGCCAAAGTTGAGAGAATTAAGGCCAATGATCCTAGGTACTACAGTGCCGACGG